CTGCAGGTTCGTTTTTTTAACTCTTTCTCTCTGGTCGGTCAGGGGTAAAATCGGAAATCCAATTCTTATAAAACGCAGCTTTGGTCTTAGATCATGTCCCTCAGACAATATCACTCGTTAATCTGTGTCTGAATCTCACAAGGTAATAATTTAGCTAATGCAAATCTCTATCTTTATCTCTTCTCCATCGCTAATTTTCTTGCAAATTTATCGTTAATTATCTCCTGATCTTCGCTCTGAATCATCGATCGGTGATTCTCGATCTCAGATCGGCTTTTCCTTAGTTCATAATTCTGATTCGAAACCAATGGATCCGTTGTTTATAGTGCTAATTATTTGAAATCATCTTTGGTTTTATAAAATGAAGCTAGATTTGTAATTAGATCGTTAATGATGTCTTGTTTAGTAGTTATGTTTTAATTTAAGATCTGACTCTATTTTGCTTATAAAAGATCTAACTTTTTAGAATGTTTGGTTCTTTCTTAAAAAAGGATCCACCTTTTGATCTCTGTTCGGTTTTGATTGTATATAAAGTTCTTGACTTTGTGAAATTTATTTCTTTTTGGAGAAGCAGTGAAAATGGTGAAGATTTGTTGTATTGGAGCTGGGTATGTTGGTGGACCAACAATGGCAGTGATTGCTTTGAAATGTCCAGACGTTGAAGTAGCGGTTGTTGATATCTCTGTACCACGTATCAACGCTTGGAACAGTGACCAGCTTCCGATTTACGAGCCTGGTCTTGATGATGTTGTGAAGCAATGCCGTGGAAAGAACCTTTTCTTTAGTACTGATGTTGAGAAACATGTGAGGGAAGCTGATATTGTGTTTGTTTCTGTTAACACACCGACGAAAACTAGAGGTCTTGGTGCTGGTAAAGCTGCGGATCTTACTTATTGGGAGAGCGCTGCGCGTATGATCGCTGATGTTTCGGTATCGGATAAGATTGTGGTTGAGAAATCCACTGTTCCGGTTAAAACAGCTGAAGCTATTGAGAAGATTTTGACACATAATAGCAAAGGGATTAAGTTTCAGATTCTTTCGAATCCGGAGTTTTTGGCGGAAGGAACCGCGATCAAGGATCTTTTTAACCCGGACCGTGTTCTTATCGGAGGGCGGGAGACCCCGGAAGGGTTTAAAGCGGTTCAGACGCTTAAGGATGTGTATGCACATTGGGTTCCTGAAGGCCAAATCATAACCACCAATCTCTGGTCTGCTGAGCTTTCCAAGCTTGCGGCAAACGCTTTCTTGGCTCAAAGGATTTCATCCGTCAACGCTATGTCGGCTTTATGTGAAGCCACTGGTGCAGATGTCACGCAAGTGTCTTACGCGGTTGGTACAGACTCGAGAATTGGTCCTAAGTTCTTGAACTCGAGTGTCGGATTCGGAGGTTCGTGTTTCCAGAAGGACATTCTGAATCTTGTGTACATCTGCGAATGCAACGGACTCCCGGAAGTGGCAGAGTACTGGAAACAAGTCATCAAGATCAATGACTACCAGAAGAGCCGGTTTGTGAACCGTGTTGTTTCCTCCATGTTCAACTCCGTATCCAACAAGAAGATTGCGGTTCTTGGTTTCGCATTCAAGAAAGACACAGGCGACACAAGGGAAACCCCAGCCATCGATGTGTGCAAGGGTCTTCTCGAAGACAAAGCAATGTTAAGCATTTACGACCCGCAGGTGACTGAGGATCAGATCCAGAGGGATTTATCCATGAACAAGTTCGACTGGGACCATCCGCTACATTTGCAGCCAATGAGCCCAACAACAGTGAAACAAGTGAGCGTTACTTGGGACGCATACGAAGCAACTAAGGACGCACACGGTATCTGCATCATGACCGAGTGGGATGAGTTCAAGAACTTGGACTTCCAGAAGATCTTTGACCACATGCAGAAACCGGCTTTCGTGTTCGATGGAAGAAACATTATGAATCTCCAAAAGCTAAGGGAGATTGGTTTCATTGTTTACTCCATTGGTAAGCCCCTTGACGACTGGCTCAAGGACATGCCTGCCGTTGCCTAATGATGTCCATTGCTGATTGTTTCGTCCTCCATCATTTGTGCTTCTTTTATTGTTTGTCTTTGAGACTTGTTATATTTCTTACAATGTGTTTGTTATATGTCTCTGGTGTGTTTTTTTTTTTTTTTTTTTCAACTTTCATATTTTTTTTGGTCGAAGAGGACTTGTATTCGACAATGTCGCTTCAATTTTGTTGTTTCCTTAGAAACTAAATAAATATTGGTTCATATTGGAGTAAATGTGTTTGTAGTCAACCATTGAAAGTTTTGACACCTATTGAGTTTTGTCTGTGAGAGTTGTTGTTGACTCAGAAGAATATTTGCACATTGTTCATAGAGAATCACATGATCTCTCATCTCTCTGGTGGTTTTAGGAACCAAACGCATCTTGTAAAAGTTTCCAGGTTGGAGATTCTGACTGACACCTAAGGATTCCACGTTTAAAGCTTAACATAAAGATTAGATGCTTCATGGATTTCGTTTTCTTGCCCCAATCAATGGTCCTCGACCTCAGAATTGTCTTTTTGACATCCTTTTTGTATATATTGTGAATTTTCGTTACACATTTTAGTAACTCATTTGAAAGACATAACTCAAGTTTGAGTAAATAATACTCACTCCCTTCCATTTGATAGGATGTTTCAGGATGATGTATTTGTTTCATATTTTCATTTCATCAAATGTTTTGTAAGTTTTTTTTGTAAAGTTTAACTGCATTAAATCTTTTGAGGTCATTTGTATTATGCAGTGATTTGTATGATTGGTTGAATTGTTTTAAATTTAAATATTAAATGATATTTCTAGAAAGAATATAAAATTTGTAGATAAACGCTTTTAGCCAAAACATTTAACAAAAAGAAACAGAGGGAGTAATATCCTAATATGTTTATGTGGAAATGTATTTAGCAGATTATTTATTTCTTTATATGTTGTCAATTTGTGCATTTCATTTGTTTCAAAAGATAGTTATTCCTTTTTGTTCAAGAACTAGTTATTATTTAGTTTATTTATTTCTTCTTTCTTTGATTGAGAGAAATTGATTTTTATTTTTTTTAATTTGAACCTTTTTGCTACTATATAAATTTTTTGAGGAAATATTAAAAATCTTTAACAAAAAGAATTTCTTTCAAATGATTAATTGAGATTAAAATATCGAAATAAAAGGTTGCAAAATTTATTTTCTTCGTTTTTGGTTTTTGAAAAGTAAACATAAAGTCAAGGACTTAAATTTTTCAAGTAAGATTAAAATTGACTAAATGAGTTTTTCAAAGTATTTTTTTTCTTTTCGAAAAATGTTTTTTTTTTTTAATAAAAAATACCAATAAGTTTATTTAAAATCAAGTATTGATGAATCCAACAAATTTCCATTAAAAAAATATAAATTTAAACTTTATAGATAGATATCCAAATAAATTAAATAAAAATGTCCAAATATTGGTGTGTTTCTCTTTTAATTATTTTTTCCCATTTAAAGTAAAAAAATCTGGACGCAGCGTTACAATTCGTGAGAAAGACAAAACACAAGTTTCTTGATTGGCTATTTCCAGAAATCCAAGTCAAAAATCAAAGTCCAAACCAAAATCCTCTCCCAATCTCCGCTTCACTCTCGTCATGGACGCTCTCATTTCTCAGCTTCAGAGACAATTTCGTGATTACACCATTTCTCTCTACCAACAGGTTTCAATTCTACAAATCTTCAAACCCAATTCATGTCTTGGGTTAGCTAATATAGATCACATGCACTAGATTTACTCCTATATGCAGAGATTCGTGATTAAAGTGAAGAAAGATTGAATCTTTATTGTTTGTTCTGTAGAATTTGTGTTTTTTTTTACAAGTTATGATTTTTAGGGATTTGAGTTGTGTAAAGGTTGGAACTTTAGATTGATGGGTTTGTTTTAAATCATTGCTTGTTTGTATTTTTGTGAAGGGTTTTTTGGATGATCAATTTACTGAGTTGAAAAAGCTACAAGATGATGGAAGTCCTGATTTTGTTGCTGAAGTGCTCACTCTTTTCTTTGAAGATTGTGTGAAGCTTATCAGTAACATGGCTAGATCTTTGTAAGTTTTGATCTTCTCTCAGCTAGATCATCATTGCTTGTGTTGTCTTAACCTTCTCTTAAGTGTGATTGTGGCTACTACATCTATTTTCAGGGACAAGACGACAGGAGCTGTAGATTTTAGTCAGGTAGGTGCTAGTGTGCATCAATTGAAGGGTAGTAGCTCAAGGTGTGTATCGTGTCTCGATTCTAGTCTGCTGATCCGTGATATAATCTTTAGTAGCAGAAGTTGTGTGTGGTTGATTGATGAAGCTTTGTGTTGTTTCTATGTAGTGTTGGTGCTAAGAGGGTCAAAGCGTTGTGTGTTAGCTTCAAGGAATATTGTGAAGCTAAGAACTATGAAGGGTGAGCTTGTTCAACACCGCTTGAAGAGTTATCCTTTTCTTTTGGGACATATTGGTTGAGTTTTGTGGAGTAATAGTCTCTTGTTACAGGTGTGTGAGATGTCTGCAGCAAGTGGATATCGAGTACAAGGCGTTAAAGACAAAGCTTCAAGATATGTTCAATGTGAGTGTGAATAGAATCCATCTCTGTTTGTGGCTGCTTTTATGAATCATTTTGATGATGACCAATGAATTGACATTGTTGTTGTGTTGCAGCTTGAGAAACAAATCATTCAAGCTGGTGGTAGAGTTCCTCAAGTGGATATTAACTAAAGAGACTAGTCCAGAAGAAAAAAGATGATGACTTTCTTTAGTTTCTCTTTTAAATTATTTTGGATTTGGTGTTTGCTCAGAAAACTCAATAAAATATGTGCAAAAAGAAACAAGTGGTTGTTTATAAATCAGTAGTGTGTATTGTTCTTTGATCTAATGTGATGATAATAATATATTGGTTTGCTTCTTGTGGGTTTGGTTTGAGTAAAGATATAGTGATTACCAAGCAAGTCTTGACTAGTAGTGCTTCTAAGACCCTCCAAATATGTGTGTTTTTAGTTCCTTAGTTTGATTCTTGCTTAGAATAGGTAGGCATGTCCATTTCGGCTCGGGAAATTCGTTTTAACCCGTATCCGTCCCGATTTATCCTTTCCCATACTTTATCCGTCTCGAAGTTGACCCTTACTCAAATTAGTAAAAGTTTGGTAGTGATTTTTTCGACCCGAATTTCTCAAACCCGTCTTGTTATCCGAATTCGAATATCCAAATTCTGATCCTTACCCGTTACTTCCCGTTTCGATACAAGTACCGAAATGGACATTCTAAGAAAACATGGTAAAATCTCATCGCGATAAATAACAAACCGGTTTCTGACCGAGGTAGATTACCGATCCAAAAGATACCAAAAAGATACCAACAAGGGAGCACGAAGTTAATTGTAGACGCGAGTGTAGGAGATAACTACCCCTTTCCAAATAGCCTTCATAGCTTCCGCAACAAGTAATTTTTTCATCAGTCTCTATGAGTAAAAGCTAAGCGAGAGAGAGCTAGACTCTCTACAGATCAAGCTCAACGATTCAAGCCGTGATACATAAAATCAAGTTAGGGTTGCTCTGGTAAGCTGATCAAAGCTCTCATCTTTCTCTATTCTTCTGATTCTTCCCCTATCGAGAAACGTAAACGAAAAAAGCTTACGACTTTTTACAATTTCAGTATATTTTTCTCACTTTCCTGTGTTTGATTCTTGTGGGTTTAACGTATTTGATGATTAACAGGTTCAATCAGATGAAAGTTTTCATCTTTGTTGTCAAAATGTCTCGGAGTCTTCGTGTGTGTGGTTACCAGATGATTCATTCTGGTGTTTGCTCGATTTGCTAATGATTTTGGGGTCTTTGCTCGGTTTCAATGTCAATAAAAGAACCATCTTTTATGACTGAGATTGTTGAGGAACATGAGAATGAGATGGATGAAGCTGCAATGAGCTTGGTTATGTTTTCTGAACAAGTTTATGACTTTGATTTGCCTCCTAATGATGATGATGATTCCATGGATTTAGATCAGCTCACACCTATACAAGAGAAGATCTTAGATTGTGTTGAGTGGATACCATCTCACTCGGGTTTCGAAAAGTCTACAACTTGCAGTGATGTTGTTGCTGCTCAAGCATTACCTAAATTGCAGAGTAACTCAAGTCGTAAATGCAATATATGTGGAAAGATTTTTGGGTGTTATCAAGCTTTAGGTGGCCACCAAAGAGTTCACAGACCGATTAGAGGGAAACTAGCGCGTAAAAGGGAGTATACTGAAGATGATAATTCATTGTTTGAGTCATCAGATGCTAAGAAGATTGTTTCAAAACCATCAAATTTTGAAGTCTCTAAGGAGGAGAAGATCTTAGATTGTGTTGACTCGAAACAAGGGTTCAGCGAACTGCTTCCTCGGAATAGTAAGTCGCTGAAAATACCTGAGAGTAGCTCCTGCTATGAATGTAAGATATGTGGAAAGAGTTTTGGGTGTTATCAAGGTCTAGGTGGCCACACAAAACTTCACAGATCGATGAAAGGGCAATTGGCGCATACTGAGGATAATAATTCACTGTTAGACTCATCAGAAGCTAAGAAGATTGTTTCAGAACCATCATGCTTTGAAGTCTCTCCGGATGAGAAAAGCTTACATTGTGTTGAGTTAAAACAAGACTTCAGTGAACTGCTTTCTCATTCGGGTGCATTACCTTCTACCCTGAGAAGTAAATTGCAGAAAAAAACTCAGAGCAAATCAAGCTGTGATTGCAAAATATGTGGGAAGAGTTTTGTGTGTTCTCAAGCTCTAGGTAATCACAAAAGAGTTCATAGACCGATAAATGGGAAATTAGCGCGTAAAAGGAAGTATACTGAAGATTATAATCCACTGTCTGACTCATTAGAAGCTAAGAAGATTGTTTCGGAACCATCAAGCTTTGAGGTTTCTCAGGAGAAAAGCTTACATTGTGTTGAGTTAAAACAAGACTTCGGTGAACTGCTTGCTCACTCGGGTTTCGACAAGTCTATTAGTTGCAGTAACACCAGGTTCATTCCATTACCTTCTTCCCTAAGAAGTAAAACACACTCCAACATATCGATTAAAGGGAAATTAACGCGTAAAAACGAGAATACTGAAGATGGTAATTCACTGTTTGGCGTGAATGACTCAGAAGCTAGCAAGTTTGCTTCACTATCATCAAGCTTTGAAATCTATCAGGAGAAGACCTTACATTGTGTTGAGTCGAAACAAGACTTCAGTGAACTGTTTTCTCACTCGGGTTTGGATAAGTCTACTTGTTGAACAATAAAGGATATGTTTGGAGATTATAACTTTCTTAAACAACTTTTTTTTATCTTTTTAAAGTGCAGAAGTTGCAACTTTATAGTTAAAACATTTTCCCCTTTACATAGATAGATGAAAGAAACGAGCTTGCTTGGTTCAAACTTCAAATACCATTTCTTTGGTTAACTCATGTTTTAGACACAGAATCAATCCAAAGTGAAATTGATCTCTTATACCAATTCATTGGTTCGGTTTGAGTAAAAGATACAGCGATTAGGGTAAAAGATATTGGATTAATAATTATGTTATTCACACCATTGCATTGTCTTGTAAGTTGTAAGTTGTAACTGATTAGAAAGCAAAATGTTTTTATGTGCTCTTTAGAAACTTGAACAATAGAATTTTGAAGTTAATCAAAGCAGAATATCAACAAATCAAAAGTATACTGGAAAAATGTAGCAAATATAGTATTATGACATAGTTTATTTGGAAATTTTTAAAGAACGAATGAAAAACATCCATCTCTATTTACATTTTTAGAGTACATTTAGCAAATAAATCTAGGGGTTGGGAAGTATTTACAACTTATGTCATTGGTTAGTCGGGTTTTTTCCATGCGTTTGACCCGGTTTTGTTGCAATCGGATACCTCCGAAATTTCCTCTTACAAATTGTTGTTGTAATCGGCATTAATTAGTGAGACAATATTAACAATCAAATTTAAGAAATAAAAACCAACTCATTAATGCAGTTTATTAGCCTAATAAATTAATATGACAATAATAATTTACTTTCTTAAATTAAACCACATTAAATTCAAAAAAATTTACTCCCTCCTATCAATTTAATAATATTCCCAAAAATATCTCTAAATTATATTTAAGGAAAATAAGATTCGTAACGAGACCGTTTTACGGAATCACAATACAATATCTCTTAACTTACTTATTTTTCAACACAATTAATTCAAAAAATTAATTCTCTCCAATCAATCCACTAATATTCGTAAAATATATCTCCGAATTCTATCATAGATATCTAAACTACCATAAAAAAAATTACCGAGATCTCTATAACACCTAATAACCCACGAAATCTCTTTATATTGACCATCGAAAATATATCTTCATTCCAATATCTACCTAAAAATCTTCCACATTAATTTTTAACAAATCAATTTCAGAATTTTAAAAGCATAATAACCTAATTATTTGACCCTATATATACTCTACTAACAAAAATAACAAATTCAAAGATATTCTAAAAAAAATATGTCTTCACGTAAATTCTACCATTTACTGACTACGCAATAATAACCTAATTATTTGACCCTATATATACTCTACTACTATACACCTATTCCTATCAGAAAACTCAAAAGCTCATAAATCCGGACGTGTATACCTTTTCACTCTTATCAATGGCTGCTACTTTTGCTTTCCTCAAAGATGTGCGTCCCTACAAGACATCTTGGAGGGTACAAGTGAAAATCTTGCATTCATGGCGTCAATACATGCAAAGCACATTCCACACAGTCGCCATGGCTCCTCGATCATACATTCTACATAGTCGTTAAGGTTGCTTCGTTTTACAAATACTTAATGATGAGAATGTTAAATTGAGTCAAATATCACCAAGAGAAAGCATGTTTGTGTGTAAACAAGATCACGACAGCACCATCGTTGACCTTCATCAATTATGTCACGTCTTTCCCATTGTTTTTTCGTCCTTTATTATGTATTGCAAGTAAGGAGACAAAGAGATCAAGCAGGAGGCATTGTTTGGAAGCTTTTGTCTAGGGGCACCTAGAGGAAAAAGTAAGGGCCAGACACTAGATTTATTTTGTTTTACGGGTTTGAGTGTTTTGCTAGAGATGAGTTTGATCTTTTTGTTTTCACAGCTTGTCGCAGCTGAGATTTTCTTTGTGAAGTTGAAGCACGAGAGTTACCAAGGTGAGTTTTATAGATTTGTGTAGTTATCATGACTCCTTGATGCAATCAGAACTACAATACAAATACATGTATACAACAATTAAACAAAGGAGAAGATAAGTTTGAGACTTAACTAATTAGTACTCACATACATTACAGGTTTTTGCATTTGATTATTCGTTGGTTATACAAAAGATTTTGAGGTGAAAGAGGAGCGAATAGAGAGAATTAAGTGATGTATGATAGTGAAGGTAACTCATTTTCTTGGAATATGTTTTCAGAATTTGCTTGGCTAGGTGGGAAGATTTTTATATCTTGTTGTTTTAGTTGCATTGATTTCACTTATGTGGTTCTTCACTTCTGTTTTCAGAATTCTCAGAAGTTCCTGATCTAAGTAAGTGGTTTTCGAGTTATGTCTATGAATCGCCGATGCTCGATACAAATGATGGTCTTGAACTTTCTTTTCCTGGAGAAAGTAAAGGTATAAAGGATATGGAATTAGTCTCTTCTCAGGATAAAGATAAGTCTCAGTCGCAAGTTGCGTTTTCAGGTGAGTAAAGAGATTTGTTTGCTAATAAAGTGACTCAAGAAGTTTGTAGTCGAGAAGCCAGAATCTTACTTGTTTTATTTCATGTTCTAACAGAGATTACGGAAGTCGTTGAGTACAGTGAAGTAGATGAAGAAAACAACAGTATTTGGGGAAAGCCTAAGAAAAAGCGCATCAGTACTATTTGGAGAAAACCTATGAGAAAGAAAGAGCCTACAACAACAACCTATGAAGCTGAGCTAACTTCCTTGAGGAACTGAGTCCAATATCTAGAAAACGAAGTAAGGATTTTGGATGATCTCATCAATCGTTTCCAAGTTTTCCAATTACAAAAGTAGTATATAGAAGTAAGGATATTAATATATAGAAGTAAGGATATTAATTTAGGTATTGGTTTGAGACTTGTGTTATGTATGAATTGATGTTTGATCTTTTGGAAATTTATTATATATATATATATATATATATATATATATATATATATTGGATATTTTGCAAATTAAACAGGTTCCATCAAATGTAAATAGCTTAATACAAATACATAAAATAAGAGTCATAACATTGAATATTATAGCATTGAAAAAATGATAGATCATAGCATGGATATATCGTCAAATAAAAATAAATAAAAGCGTTTAAATATTACTATAGTATATGTATATATCGTAGCATTCAAAAAAATGCTATCGTATTTCTAACACCTACCATAGCTGCCGATGTCATATCATTAGTGAATTCGCTATCTTAATTATATGTATGAAAGCAGATTTTCCGCGCTAACAATGTGCATATTTCTTGTAGCTAGTATAAACTTACTTTTAAATAAAAGTTAATCTTAAAACATATAAGCCAAAGATGAAAATTTGAAAAACAAAGATGAATATTGAGAGGAGATAAAATAATTAAGGTAACTAACATACCTTCTTTAATTAATTAAACTTTTTGTAGCTGCCTCTTTTTTTAATCACCAATCTAAATTTTTTTTTGTTAAAAATATAAAATTATTATGATCTTGTGTAATTATAAAGGGGTCCCAATCATAAACCGGCCATATAATCAAATTATAAGATTTTCATTATAATTTCGGATTGTCATCTAATAATATTAATATTGTTGTTTTTGATTAAGTGCAAATTTCAAACAAAATTTAAATAATTGGCTAATTAATTCATTAAAGGACTCTTGATTCATGTATTTTCGGATTGAATTATGTTTGAAAGCATGTGTTTTTAAATCAAATAATTTCTTTATTTTTAAATATTTTTTATAAAATAATATTTTTTATAAAATAATATTTTTTTGACCTTTAAACTATTTTTAATCTAGTTTGGGTCTTCTGGCATAACTCTGTTTTAAAACTAAGCTTTTACATACTTCTCCAAGTAGGTTTGGTTACCCTCAGAAGATCAACGGTTGCAAAACCTTTTCGAAGATTTGTGTTAATTTATGTCTTTGACCATGGCTAAATATAAAAGCTAGCCCGCCGATTCATACATCCGCAAATTTAGATTCTTGGATTTTCTGGGTTCATACACTTTTTTGTTTATTTTTAGTTTAATTACAATCAATTTAATTAACGATTTAATGTTTTTCTTTCAGATACACAAATTTCAGCCCCATCCCTACCCCACCAGTATTGATATTTTATTTTTATTTTTTTGAAAATTTAAAATTTTTATGTTTTATAAATTTTTAATTTTTTATTTCCAAATTTTTTCTTCTCAGGCTGCGGATGCAAACTCATCTCTTCGTGCTTTTGCCGCAGGTAGTGTTAGATTCGTCAAGGTAACGTATGTGCTTTTATTTATTTTTATTTTCTTACAAACACTCATATTCAATTAACCATAAAAAAAAAAAAAGAATACACAAGATTATTCACATGATATTAAACAACAAAGACCAAAAAATTTTCAAAAGGTAAAAAAAAAGCCAACATCCATGTGTGCAAAGCAAAACAAACTAAACACTCATATCTCGATTTTCTTTTTAGTGACTAGCAAACCCATATCCTTCAAAGGATCCCACATTCTTGAGTACCATCTTTATAGTTCTTGTAAGATAGACTCCAACCGAAGACTGCTCTTGAGACAAGCTTATTTGTCTCTGGGAATGCATTTCCACAACGTTTTTGACCTCAATGAGATACTTTTCATACCTTTCATCAATGTGTTTATTTAATTCAATAAATTTCTTTTCACAACATAAACCCTTGCCATAAATCACCTTATGGAACGGAGATCTCATCTTGGGCAACATCGTGAAAACAATTATTTTTTTTTTCTGTTTTTAATTTGTAAATTTATATTCTTTAAACTTTTCTTACTTTGATTGTTAAGGCTATTGAAAAGTTCGGATGTTTGAGCGTTATAAATTATAACGTAACATTAACATTGTTCTTATTTTTCTAATCATTTTTATAGCTCCAACAATAAAATCTTAAATTCAAAACTGAAGAAAATATCCTTTTTTTGAATAAAATGTAAAATTTATTCGAAAAAAAATCTTAAACTCAAAACTAAAGAAGAGATCAAGTCTACCATATATTATTTTTGCAACTGTATAGTTAAAACAGCCTCCCCTTTACATAAATAGATGAAAAAAAACAAACTTGCTTGGTTCAAATACAATTTCTTTGGTTAACTCTCATACTAATTCATTGGTTTAGCTGATTAGTGAGCACCAAGTTCATGGTACGCCTGAGTGTAGGAGATAACTATCCCCTAGTTTCTTCCTTTTGCAAATACACTCATTAGCTTCCACAACAAGTAATTTTTCCATTGAAGTCTGTGAATAGCTTAGATCGAAAGCGATACTACAAAATCTGAGACAAGTCAAAAATCTGTTCTTTAAGGTTTTAAGCTCAGCGATTTAGGTCAAAATGCGTTCTTTTTCGTCCTGATTCATAAAATCAAGTGAAGATTTTGCTCTGGTAAGCTAATCAAGCTCTCTGCTTTGAGATTTTCTTTCGTTTTCTTCCACATTTTCCCGAGAAAATAAAAGCTTTAGCCTTTTTTTTTCGTCTTTGTTCTCGGGTCAAGTTTCTGTCGAAACATGATCAAACTCTTCTTAGGAATGTCTGGTTTTGTGTGTGTCTTCGCGATCTTCGTCTTCTTCTCTATTTTCTCGAGAAAAGCTAAGAACTTTGTTTCAATTTCAGGGTTTACAAGGAGAGAAATTTCATCTTGTCGGCGAAATCTCAAAGTGGTTTAAAGGTTTTGCCCAAATGTCTCAGAGACTTCATGTTTGCAAAAAATGTGGAAAAAAGTTTGCAACTTTAAAAGGTGTCTATGGTCATCAGAGGATCCATTCTGGTAATTACAATAGAATCGAAGATGATAATGGTTTGCAAAAGATTTGGGGTCTTAAGAAGTCTAGGGTTTGCTCTGTTTCAGCTTCTGATCGATTCAAAGGATCTTCTTTTATGACTGAGATTAAGAAACATGAGGTGATTGAAGCTGCAATGAACTTGGTTATGTTGTCTAGACGAGTTTATGACTTTGCTTCTATCAGAAATTTGCCTCTGGGTGTTGATTTCATGGATTTAGAGCTTAAACCTAGTCCTTTGAGAAGTAAATTGCAGAAAAAAACTCAGTCTACCTATAAATGTCGTATATGTGACAAGAGTTTTGTGTGTTCTCAAGCTCTTGGTAGCCACCAAAGACTTCACAGATCGATGAAAGGGCATTTAGTGCGTAAAAGGGAGTACATTGAGGATGATAGTTCACTGTTGGACTCATCAGAAGCTAAGATGATTGTTTCACAACCATTAAGCGTTGAAGTCTCTCAGGAGAAGATCTTACATTGTGCTGAGTCCAAACTAGATGACTTCAGCGAACAGCTTGCTCACTCGGATTTCGACAAGTCTAGTAGTTGCAGTAAAACCAGGTTCAGTGCATTACATTCTCCTATGAGAAGTAAATCTCACTTCAGCTATAGATTCAAAATATGTGGCAAAAGTTTTGGGTGTTCTCAAGCTCTAGGTGGTCACCAAACACTTCACAGATCGATTAGAGGACAATTACCGTGTAAAGATGATAATTCGCTGTCTGACTCATTAGAAGCTAAGAACATTGTTACACAACGATCAAGCTTTGAACTTTCTCAAAAGGAGAAGATCTTACAACGTGTTGAGCCGAAACTAGAGTTCCACGAACGGCTTACTCACTCTGGTTTCGACAAATCTAGTACTTGTAGTAAAGCCAATTTCAGTGCATTCCCTTCTCCTCTAAAAGCTAAGAAGATTGTTTCACAACCATCAAGCTTTGAAGCCTCCGTGGACGAAAAGTTCTTACATCGTTTTGAGCAGAAACTAGACTTCAGCAAACAACTTGCTCACTCGGGTTTCGACAATTCTAGTAGTTGCAGAAAAACCAAGTTCAGTGCATTACATTCTCCTCTGAAAAGTAAATCTTACTCCAGCTATAGATTCAAAATATGTGGCAAGAGTTTTGTGTGTTCTCAAGCTCAAGGTGGTCACCAAAAACTTCACAGATCTGAAGATGGTAATTCATTCTCTGGCGTGACTGACTCAGAAGCTAGCAAGATTGTTTCACAACCATCAAGCTACAAGTCTCAGGGGATATAAAATGTCAGTGCTTTGATGTTTCCAAGTGTTACCAAAGCTTTTGAGGTTTCACATTATACCAGATTACTACAGAGAAAAGGTAGATATGTGTTCATCTATATAGAATCTTCAGATTGATTGAACAATTAGGTATGTGTTAGAAATTAGAGATTGAAACTTTAGAATGATTTGATTTGCAAATGTGTATAGTTGTGACATTTTCCTCTATTTTTTTCTACTCTTTTGATATAGTACAGATATGAAAAAACCAGGTTTTGTTAGTTTGAAACTATCCTTGAGCTCTGTCCAATTCTTTGGTTCGAATACAATTTCTTCTTCTAGAGTATATGTTTCCACCTTCATGTCTGAGTCTCTAAGACACAGAATCAATCAACCTTATTAGGCCAAAGTGAAATTGATAATTTTATTGGTCCAATTAATCCAAACGAACAGATTTTTCGACCTAATCGGTCCGACCGGTCTGGTCTTTTTGACCTGTGTATAGAATTGTACGAAAATTCCCTTTTTTGATCCACTTGAAGCTCAAAAAGCAAGACAAGATCAAAACTTTTATTTTATGTTTTTATGAAAAAAGAGGAAAAAATCAGAACTTTTTATTTTATTGGGAAAATTAGAAATAAAGGAGCTCTAAAAAAAAGTTTGACTATATACACTTTTTTTTTTAGAATGTCACTTTGGACTAAAATATCCCTACTCTCTATTTTAAGCATTTTTTGAATGATTTTACCAAAAGAACATGTAGATATACAAGATTATAGATGATTTGGAAAAAACAAATGATGATTTAATTGAAAAAAGTTGATTTTTTGATGGATAAAGTTTCGTCTAAAATTATTAGAATATGTTTTTAAGCGTTCTACGAATATCAGAATTTATATTCTAAACTTTTGTACATGTTCTACGAAAATCAGAGTTTGTATTCTAAATTTTTGTACATGTTCTACGACTTTTAGATTAGATACATGTTCTAACAAATTCAGAAGACCGGAATACAATTTCCAAAAATCCTTAGAACATGTATTCTACGCTTTTCTTCATGTTCTAATTTTAGTCAGAAAATCTATTCTACGATTTATAACATGTTCTAAAAACGTTAGAAAACGTATAATTATTTTAGAATCCGTTTTCTAATATAATATAGATTTCAATTTCTGAAAAGTTTTAGAATTCCTAAATATAGAAAGTGAATCTTTCAAAAAGAAAACTAAATATTTATTAAATATTACGTTTTTATTGTTTAGATTACGATCTGAGGATGGTTAGAATACGTATTCTAATATTTTCAGATGAGAAAAAAAATTAAAAACGAAAATCTAGAGGGTGAAATCGTTTTTTAGCCCTAATCGTCAAAGTCTTCTTCTTTCACCTCTTCCTTTTAAGTCCACGTTGAAAGGTTAGACTAATTTGGTAGATTTGTCGTTGCTTTTCCCCGTTCTGTGCCACGTTTTGTCATTTGGTATATACCCATATGCTGATGATGTGTATACAACTGCCACTTGGAGATCGTTTTATGAGGAAACTATTAATCCAATAGGTGTTCCTGAAGATGAATGGCGCGTCCCAGAGGTTGTTGAATCTGCAAAAGTTTTACCACCTGAAACAAGAAGACAACCTGGTAGACGAAGAAAACGAAGATATGAATCAGCTGAAGACAAGATAAAAGCATCACAACAGTCACAATTATCAAAAAAGCACAAGTGCGGCCGTTGTGGTAAAAAAGGTCATAATCGAGTAACATGTGATGTAGCAATATAAGGTTTGTGATCGTGATCTGACTACTAGTTTAAAACTTAAGTATAGATTCCCTACTTTTATATTTTGTTTTGACAATTGTTTTCTTTATCTTTTTCAGGATTATGTTGCAACTGCTCTCATTGAACGTTTCTAGTTACCACTATATGGATTTTGAACTTCTTTCTCATTTCATGATTATTTTCACATTTTTTATTTCAGATTTGAATTTTCTAGTACTCTATGTTTGAATTTTTGTTCTCATAATTGGAATCCCTACTACTCTTATGTTCGTGGTTTTGCTTTGAGTTTCAGATTGACTTATCACTAAATTAAGTATATACAACATAAGTTTCAAGACCAATTTAACATAATTTAAAAAGAAACGTAAGAACCATAGTCTCAACCTACCAAGTAGGAATTTTCATTTAGTTTATTGTTTATCGATGAGGAAAGTTGATATGTTGTGTTTTTATCGGTTTTGAGTCTTTGTTTTCTTTCCTACATCATATGTTTTATAGAGTCAAAGTGTGTTTTTAGAGTATTTTAGTCTTTTATCGAGTCTTTACAGGTTTTAGGTTGTTTTGGAGGAAAACGAGCTGTTTTGGGTTATAAACACACTTTTGGAGATGCAGTTTCGTTTAGAAGTGTCATACGTTTGGTCTCAGATGGAATACTTCACACCGTTAGATCTTTCTGAATTTTTGACACAAGCTAGATGAAGATGTTAGCTTGATTTTCCAAGTGGTTTGAAGGAAATCTAACGGTGAATTCAAGAGTTATACCCAAATTAGTGAAGACATCTCAATCTGGCGAAAAAATGAGAATATCTGAATTATGTAAATAAAATAGAAAATATTTTTTTTTTAAATTTTGTTAATTATATTTTCGAAAATATGAGGGTAAATTTGGGTTTTGATTTTTAAAAAACCTATTTCACCAAATTTTTTATATAAAAGTATATATGAACATTTATCCATTAAAACATCCTTTATTTCTAATTTTCCCTTTTTTATTTTCCATGGATTACAACAGCCAGTGGCAACAACCGCCGGCGCCGGCAATGCAGCCACCGGAAATGAATCAGTCAGCGGCGGTTGATGCGTATTACGCTTCCTATTGTGCTCACTACGCAAATCCAGACCCTAATTTTAAATTTGATCTCCAAACACATGAATCATTAGCTATTGCAATTCCACCAGCGCCTGGAGTTGTTGTTACGACGCCGTATTACACTTTGGATGCGAATGCTCAGAACTTGGCTTGGCAAGAGTCTGTTCGTATGTATGGCACCGACCCTCTTGCGATTACAGGACCTGTATGTTTGTTTGTTTCTCTTCTTTTCACAATTCATTAGGATCTGTAGATAAAGTCAGGTCCTTTGCAACAAGCTCTTGATTCTGTGATTGCTCTGTTTTGCTCGGATGTCAACGTTTGCACAGTTTTGATATCAATGAGGTCAAGGTGATGTCTTTTATGAATGTCTTAGTGATTCATTATGATCTGTGGATAAAGTCAGGTTCTTTGCAACAAGTTCTTGATTCATTAGCGAATTTCAGTTTACTCTGTGATTGCTCTGTTTTGGTCTCTTGAGATTCTTGTTTGTACAATTGATCTTGTCTGCTTCCTTGGTGTGCAAAGGATCTGTTTATGCTTCAAACTTGCATGTAAATAGGTCACAAAACTACAAGTTCTAGGATCTCAAGATATCGTTTCGAGTATTTATTATTGTTTATGCAGTATTTACTATCTTCCTTGTGTGCTCAATTTGACATTTGCTTGTATTTTTGTAATTGAGGATGAATCAGGATGCTACAAGACAGTCTCATAGCTTATACCCGCCAGGTGCGGGTTTCTCTTGGACCGGCCACATAGTTCAAGCTCAACTTCCTGGATTGAAGAAAGTGTCAAAGAAGGGAAAGGTTGTTCGATCTGCTTACTGCGAAGTTTGTAAAGTTGACTGTAATGGTCCAAGTGTATTCGAGCAACATATATATGGGAAGAAACACCTGAAGAACTTGAAAACATGTTTACTGTCGTCAAACACAGATTCTTCTTTGCCTGGACCAACAGTTGCGATCCCTTTGATAGGACCACAAGAAAATCCGAGTAAAAGCAAGGCTAGGAAGAAAGGTGTGGAATCAATAACAGAAGATCTAGAAACAAAGAGACGGAGAGTCGTTGAATGTGGGGTGTCAAATGAGTCGATTAGACTCTGTAGAATATGCAACGTAGTTTGTAATAGCGACACGGTTTACAATGATCATTTGGCCGGTCAGAAGCACGCCGCTAAGGCAGCGAAGACCCCTGTAAATACATAGACTCTTGAATCTTATTTCTTACATTCATTGTATTGCATCATTACATGATTTCCTTATTACCTTGATTACACTAAAAACATGGGACATACAAAAGAATTCTTAAGGTAGACTGGTCTCAAGGCTCATGGAAGTTCGACTTGCTTAATATTCCAAATGTCTTTGGCGTATTCATGGATCGTCCGGTCACTGCTAAACTTGAATGAACCTGCTGTGTTCAAGATTGACATTCTCGTCCATCTCTGTAATCATTTACCAGCAATTTCAAGGTTAGATCTTTTGAGTATATTTTAGTCAACATTAGCTTTGATGTTCAAAGAAAATGCATCACTACTTACTTTTTGGTCCCGGTATGCCTCGTCGACCTTTTCTTGGCATTCAATGTAACTAGGAAAGTCTTTGCCCACGAGGAAGTAATCCGCTCGACCAAAACCTTCATTTCCTTCCAAAGAGCCAATTAGTTCATCATAGCTGTTTGAGCCAAAGACACCGCTTCTAACGAACTTCTTGACTCCTTCAAAAGTAGGATCTGGAACAAACTGGAATGCGAAGAGCGAACAGGTCAAAAATGAATTTCTGTTTGATGCTAAAACAGAAGCATGGCAAGGTTAACTCTTCAAATCGTATACCTTTCCCTCTGCTCTCTCCTTCCTGAAGTTCACAATCTCATCAGCTTTGGCACCAAAAAGGAAGAAATTTTCTTCTCCTACTTCTTCTCTAATCTCGACATTCGCCCCATCCAAGGTTCCAATCAAAACGCATCCGTTCATTGAAAATTTCATGTTGCTTGTCCCACTAGCTTCCATCCCAGCGGTACTGCAAAGAGAACTCTTTAAGTCTTCAGAAAATAGCAAAGTACCATTGTTATAACTTTTTAAAATGTCACTGAAACATATTGTTCCTCGTGTCAAAATTTGGTAAACAGAGAAACTAATCCAGTTCCCAATTTACTAGTTATCTCCATTTCAGCATGTCAGCCTCATGGAGTTGTGAAAAAATTATAAAGTGACTAAGCTAAAGAAGTTGTTACCTGATGTGCTGAGAAAGCTCACTTGCTGGAATGAGCAATTCAGCAACACTGACATTGTAATCAGGAACAAAGATAACCTACAAGGTAGTTAACACTTCTAATTAGTAAGTGCCAATTTCCACAGATGCTATTATTACAGGTTGTTTGCTCTACGCTTGAGAATACGACTAATATAAGCACACAAGTCTATATATACCTTAAGCAGGTCACCAATTTCCGGATCATGGTTAATTGTAGATGCAACATCTGTGATGAATTTCACAATCCTCTTAGCTTGCACATATGTGGCAAATGCTTTTCCTCCAAATATGCAAACTCTTGGAACATATGCCTTCTCCCTCTCACTGGCACTCATTTCCTTCATCTTTTTGTACCGGTAAACAATTCCCAAGATATTAAGTAGTTGTCGCTTGTACTCGTGGATACGCTTGATCTGCAAATAGTTTTCAATGCAAAAAGAAAAGAATTTACGATTTGATAAGATGACTTCTCAGACTTGTGTAATGGACTTCTCAAACAAAAAAGCAGCATCCAAGCAAACAACTCATCAATCTTAAAGTAGATAAGATCCTCTGGAACTGACCTGAATGTCGAACATTGCATCTGGGCTGACAGTATATCCGGTTCTTTCCTTGATAAGTGCTACAACCTTTAACTTGTTCTTCTTCTTTGCTGCCCTCCACTCGGATTGAAGATCTTCATTATCTGCAAACTGGAGAAAGACCAAAAAAAGGTAACCAGTGTGCTTACTTTAAAGATAACAGCACTTAATCTGATAAAGCACATACCTTTCTCAGCTCCGCAAGCTTTTCAGTGTTTAAGACCCAGTCTTCTGTGCCTATCCAGTTAGTTATAATATCACTTAGATATGGGTTGCAAAAACGAATCCATCGCCTTGGTGTTACTCCATTGGTTTTATTCTGAAATTTTTCCGGCCACAACTGCAAAAAATATAGAAATATTCAACGATGAGAGTGTGTTCTTCAAGGTAGTGCATTTTTAAGCATTACACTTCACTAGTTAGAATGTTTACCTGAACGAAATCATTAAACACATCCTGCTTCACTATTTCACTGTGTATCTCTGCAACCCCATTTACAGCATGACCACCCACAACAGCAAGGTTGGCCATACGGACCATCTTTGGTGGTTTTATTGGTTCTGGGATAACTTCCTCTTCCTCTTCCTCGCCAGCAATTTTTTCCTCTTCTTGTTCGGTTTTCACGCCATTTTGAGCATCTTTTGCAGTTACAGGTTTGTTCTCCGGCTTCACGATCACATCTGCAAAGGCAGAAGGCAACTCGACGTTTTCTAAGATCCTCATTGCCTTCAGTTTCTCTTCGAGTAAGTCAGGATCCGCAGTGCCATACTCAGAGACAATTGTGCGAACTAGCTGCAATACATGAAAGCGAAAATTAGATCAGATATGGAAAGAAATAGAAGAGATATTTGATGTTTTCAAGGGATTACCTCCTCATCAATCTTTTCAATAATCTCTACATGACGAGGAAGCAATTTCTCCATAAGTTCTAAACTCCACTTCTCTAGTGCCTCAGGCAAGACTGTATGGTTTGTGTATGCCACGGTCCTAGAAACATTATTAACTTTTCAGAAACACGTTGCAGGCTTTTTAAACTTGTAAACAAAGAACAAGAGACTATATAGGGCCAAAAAGACAAGTAGTTCAGTCAATTTAAGAAATACCTTTGTGTAATTTTCCAAGCATCCTCCCAGCTTAGTCCTTTCAAATCCATTAGAATCCTCATTAGCTCAGGTATGCATAGAGTAGGGTGAGTGTCATTCATTTGCACTGCAACCTTCTCTGGGATTCTTCCCAGTTGACACTTCCTCCAGACCTTGTTTCAAAACGTGCTACGATATCTTGTAGCGAGGCTGAACACAAAGTGTACTGTTGCTTCAGACGAAGAGCCTTTCCTTCATTTGACTCATCTCCGGGGTAAAGCACGAAACAAATCTATTTCCATTAGGAGGGAAGGGGCGAAAACAACTACTTTTCAGTATATACACATCAAAAGCTCGTTATATAAACAAGCATAAAGTGACGCAAGACTAATCTCCCTGTTATAACATATTCATTTCTGTTAGTTCTAACTCAATTTGTAAGATATATGCACTATTCCGTTTACCAGAAGGTTCTTGTAAATAGGTAATGGTCAAAAAAAATAAAATTTGAAAGCAACTTTAAATGAAACTTAATGCATCTTCAAATATAGACTCAAGCTTAATGAAGATACAAACCTTTTCGGCATTAAATAGAGCTTCTGCTGCCTCAGTATGTTTCCCAGAGTTATATGATGATAAATCAAAATCTTCGGAAGGAGCTTTTGTTGACCAGAGTCGTAGATTGATAGTAGTCTTAGTTTTATAACCAGGTATAGGAACATCATAAGCAACAGCCACTATGTCTTCTCCACCAATCCACCGTTTCTTACCATCTGATCCAAAAACCACTTTTCCATAGAACTTAATAGGATATGAGACATCATTTCTGACTATTTCCCAAGGATTACTAAGCTGAAAAAAACAAGCCAATAAACATGTCCACTGCTCAGCTTTGCTACAAGAGAGTACCAATTAGGATATACTGTTCAATAGCAAACGCTGTACGAGAAAAAAATAAGAGAAGAAGACCTCAAGCCAATCTTCTGCAGCTTCCTCCTGTCCATCTTTTGTGATTCTCTGTTTGAACAAGCCATACTTGTATCTAAGTCCATAACCCCATGCCGGATAATTCAAAGTTGCCATGGAATCCAAAAAGCATGAAGCAAGTCTCCCGAGTCCACCATTCCCAAGTGCAGGATCTGGCTCCTACAAAATGGGAGTGAAGAATTTAGCATCTCAGTACATATAAAGAAGATAACAGCTCTGTAAAACCAAGCAACAGACTCGCAAAGATGACCAGCCTAAACGTTTATTAGTAATTCATCGATCTTTGACGAGATCAATGTATAATAATCAACATAGTTAAAAGCTCACCTGACTAACTACACTTTCCAAATCAAAACCAAGCCTCTTCAAAGCGTCACCATAAGTGCTATTAAGCCCAAGATTACCCACTGCATTCGATAAGGCTCTACCCTACAATGTGAAACAGTCAGATAATAACCAAGCACAAGATCACTGAGTGTCGAAACACAAAGAAAAGAATGAGTCCAAACCAAACCTGCAAAAACTCCATTGACAAATAATACGCCTGTTTCACATTCACCCTATTGTAATACTCATAAGTTGCATTCCAATTCATGATCAAAGCGTCTCTAACACTCTGCGCAGTCGCGAAAAACGCCTTTGGCAACTCAAACTTCTCCGGCGAAAACAATGGCGTAAACTCAGCATGGTACTTGATACTCGAAGCTACCGAAGCAGCATCTGGCGCAAACGGATTCATCGAGCTAAACACTTCTAAATTCAATCAACACAAAAAGCAAAATCGCAATCAAAATTTCAAACAGGAACGATTTAGAATACGAATCAGTAACTTCACAAACGCCAACATTCACTACAATCTCCAAATTCCATACCCTAATTCTTATTAGAACCATTTAAAAGCAAGTATTTGAATGAGACCTTGTTCGGAATCTAGAACTGCATCGGTTACTTTGGCCTTTGGTTCGCTAGAGACAGATTTCACCGATAAAGACGACCTTCTCGTCGGCGATGGCCGCCAGTTTCTGCTTCTCGCCGGAAACATTCTTGTTCTCAATCTTCCGTCGTCGCAACGGCGAGAAACGAGGCTAGATAAGGAATTGCATTGTACTAAAATCTCAGCTCCGGTCGATACACCGGAGATACGCATCGTATCCATGAATCTCTCTGAGCTAGTGATAGAGTAGAGAACAATGAAGAGCTTCAAGCTATTTTCAGTTTCACGAGGCAATATCTTATCAGTGAGAGTGATCACTTATTTTATAAGTGATCTGTGATTGATTATGCCACGTGACGTTGATATCCACGTGTCATGGTGTTATTGGATATTGGAAGTGTACTATCCGTGACAGATCACCTTTTCTCAGTGGGTTTCAGAGGAGGAGATATTTCTGGGAGAAAGCGACAAGACAAGTAATGTTCACCGTCCACGTGTAAGGTCTCTTCATCGTCAATTTAGTGACTCCTTTTGCTAATACTCAATAGTTTAGTCCTCACTGGTGAAAGTTTAGAATATTACTTGTATTGAACGATTGATCGTAGAGTTGTTTGCTAAAATATGCCAAAACTTTGAGGTTTATTTGCAAAATGACATAATAGCAAATAGTGGTGTTTAATCCAGATAAATGGATCCGATCTAAACCAAAATATTAGAGCACCTCCAATGGGAGGTTCTCTTAATAATTTCTTGGGACCTCTTAATTAAAGTGATTAAAAATAAATCAAAACAAGTAATTTTGCAAAGAGTCGACTCTCTTAAGAGAGTTTTGGAAATCAAAGAGAGCCGCACACGTGTCAGATTGTGATTGGTTGCTTGTATTTAACAAAAGGAAAATAAAAACTCTTGTGTTTTCTTGTCGAAAGACCGTAGACGCCAACACGCCGGAATCCTATCCTATCCTTTCTTCTGATCCTTACCAGAGAGCTCATGCTAGATTCTGGGCTGATTTCATTGACAAAAAGGTACCTAATTTCTTTGTGCCCTTGATTGAATAATGTTGATTGTTAATTGGGGATTTCATAAAAATTGAAACTCTATTGAGTTTGCAAGTGAAATGCTTAGAGAAATTAAGCCCAACTTTTAAGGTTTTTTTTTGCTTTGGTCAATTTCACCCACCAGATTCGATTATGGGTTTGATTGTTCTTGTGTTGCCGAGAAACACGAGAGAATATTTGGGGATAAAGGTCATTGCTTTGGTCAATTTTTGTTGGATTGAAACATTGATTGGTAATTTTGGGGAATGTAGCTTAGAAAATATGATTAATCCCTTCTTTATATTGTTGCTTGGTTTGATATGATTGTAAATTTTGGCAGATAAAACAACTGATGCTGTTGAGGTCATAGAAGATTGGGAAGAAGAAGAAGATGAATCATACATGTCACTTAACTATCACGTGTCTGAGGTAATGGATAAAGGTGGGTTTGATGTCCTTGTCTTGTTCTATCAAGAACTCAAATGTCAAATATTGAGCTCATGTTTTATTGATTCCGTTTAACGTCTTGAATCAGATTTGTGATCAATTCTTGCTTATGTTGTGCTTCCATAATCTTGCATAGATTTCTTTGCACACCGTGAAACTGCATTCTCTTTTGCCTTACATGTGCCAAGTGTCCTTGACAAGTGTTTGCTTATTATTATTCCCGTCTTGGAGATGCTCTTAGAAAACTTAACTATACTAGATTATGTACCCGCGCGTTGCGCAAGATTTTAATTTAAAACATTTATTAATACGAATCTTATAAGTATAAATATAATTATTTGAATTTAAAAAAGATTTTACTTTACTCATTTGCATTATCTTTTCAAAGTAATAAAAAAAATTCACTTTTCACTACTGTTTATTTCGTTATCTTCAATGATTCACTGTTATCTCCCGACATCTACTCTCTTTTCAGTTTACATTGGTTCACATATAGTATATTCGATTATGAATTAGTTCTCGAGATAGATCATATTTTCATATCTTTTAATACTCAGTTATTTTTTATAAGCTGCATGATCTTTTTATTAAAGTGAACATCAGAAAATATGGAGAAATATTTGTTATAATGTAACTTATGAACTACTTTTATTTATTTTTTTTTTTTTAAATCATTCTTATTTCTAATAATAAACTCTTTTATATGCCATTACTATTCTAATTTCTAAATAGCAATCTCAAATATTATTAGTATACAATTTATTATTCGATTAGATTATTTTATTTTTATTTGTGATATTTAGAATAGTTTTTTGTTTTATTTTAAAACACTTTAATTTTTTTCAATCGATGATAGTTTCCTAAACACTGATTTATATTTACTTTTCCTTTTTTTAGGTATTCATTTGTTTTTAAAAAACCCACCACTTTTTAATTTAGAAAATATTAGTTGTTATAAAGAAATTTATTAATTTAACTATTTAGATTATATTATGATTAGAAATAATGATATGTACTTAATCCCTCTTAAAATCCTTTAATTTTGGTATTTTGTTTAACTCTTATTTTCTTTGGTCTACTAAATATTTGTAATTATTAAAATGTACCATAAAAATATATAATAAGTTTCTTTTTCCTATCTCAAACCATTTGAATATATTTATTCATTATATGTTAAGATATAATTCTCTAATAGCACTTTTTAATTTAGAAAATATGAGTTGTTATAAAGAAATTTATTAATTTAACTATTTATATTATATTATAGTTAAAAATAATAATATGTACTTAATCCCTCTTATTTTTAATCGGTATCATGAATTGATAATTTAACATTAATAAATATATTCTCAAATTTTAGAAGTGTATTTTCAGAAATAAATTACTTTTTGTTTTAAGTAAAATCCTTTAATTTTGGTATTTTGTTTAACTCTTATTTTCTTTGGTCTACTAAATACTTGTAATTATTAAAATGTACCATAAAAATATATAATAAGTTTCTTTTTCCTATCTCAAACCATTTAAATATATTTATTCATTATATGTTAAGATATAATTCTCTAAGTTTATTTTCATCCAATCTCTATTTTTTTTTGTTATATATTTACTTTTTATGTTTTTTTAAATATTTAAATTTTTTTTATAAATTATTTTCTTTCTTTAATGAGACATAATAATAAAGAGTGTTTGAATTAATTTTATTTTTAATGTTTCGTTGTAATAAAAAGATATGTGAAATTTACATGAAAAAAAAATATGATGATGTGGATGCTGATGTGGACATCCTAAGAGGAGAAAAAACTCTCTCATTATATATATAGATTGGTATTTTGTTTAACTCTTATTTTCTTTGGTCTACTAAATACTTGTAATTATTAAAATGTACCATAAAAATATATAATAAGTTTCTTTTTCCTATCTCAAACCATTTAAATATATTTATTCATTATATGTTAAGATATAATTCTCTAAGTTTATTTTCATCCAATCTCTATTTTTTTTTTGTTATATATTTACTTTTTATGTTTTTTTAAATATTTGATTTTTTTTTATAAATTATTTTCTTTCTTTAATGAGACATAATAATAAAGAGTGTTTGAATTAATTTTATTTTTAATGTTTCGTTGTAATAAAAAGATATGTGAAACTTACATGAAAAAAAAAATATGATGATGTGGATGCTGATGTGGACATCCTAAGAGAAGAAAAAACTCTCTCATTATATATATAGATTTTAATATAGTTTGAATGGATTCATATTTTTATATCCGAGAAACTAAAGCTGAATCCGAACCAAGCAAGAAAAAATCTGATCTAATACCAAAGGTGTTATGTAAATTAAAGATATATTTGACTAAAACCCGATTTGAAGCGAAGCCAAAACCGTACCAAACCATCCATTCTAAATAATTTTACATTTAGTTTGGATAACATTATTGGTAAACCAGAAATCCGAAAAAGTATTAAAACCAAACTGAATCTGAGCTGAACCCGGGAAATTTTGAGTGTGATTTTTTATAAATAACATACAATTTCCGATTGTTTCAAATAAATATAATGTTATTTTTTTGGGTCAAAAAATATCATGTTAAGACAAGTCTAGCAAAGAATGTGGACAAGACAAGAGCCTCTCAGTTGATGAGTCTCTCAGTTGATGAGTCTCTCAGTAGTGATGTTAAAACTGGCAGTCCATACCCGTTTAGACCCAGCTCGTTTACATCCCGGTCTGTTTAGACCCTGCCCGTTTAGATTTGAAGCCCGTTTAGATTACTTAGCCCGTTAGAGCCGTTTAAACCCGTTTAAGTTATAAGTAGCTTTTTTGGGATAAAAATATGATTTTTTTTTTTGTGTCTTTAGGTGTTTTGGATCAATCAGAAGCTTCAAGAGAATAAAATGTTATAAAAATCAACCAAAATAGAAACGTATAGCTTGGGTCAAAATCCATTTTTTTTAAACCACTCTTGAATTTTTGGTGTTCTTTAGGTGTTTTTCTGTCCCAACTGATACAAAACCGTTCCAAACCGTTGAAGTTAAGCGTCTTTTCCGTGGAGCTTGAGTTGCTTGAGTGTCACTTTGCTCTATTTCTTCAATTTCTGTTTCTCCCTCATTCATATCAATACATTGACTCTGAGCATTGAGCATTTCTAGTGTATATTGAGACTCTAAAAATCCATTCTGCAAAATTACCAAGTCAAGAGAAAGAACAAGAGGTCAACGTCAAGTCCTAAACCAAGAAGAACATAAACAAAAAGTGACATTCACATTCAACACTAGAAGCTAAGATACTTGCAATGAAACAATCAAATTAATAGAGATTGCAAAGAAAAATCAAAACGGATCATTGAACATATAAACAAAAGCAAAATCAGTAGCATAAATGTAATGAAGGATGGAAGATATCAATCAAATCAGCACCGTCCATTTCATATTAGAGATTTAAAACAAATCAGCACCGTCCATTTATTTCCCATGATACTTCTTTCTTACTTGGCCGCAACACCCAACTACATCACATTCTTTCTATTACCATTTACATAAAGGAGATTCGTATCTCAAAACTTCTTGGAGAGACATACCAAAAAACATAAACTCCAATCGCAACATTTTCGCGTTTTTGGATGGGGAAGAAGCAGTTTAGTGTTGCGGTGGCGGCTACATTCTTATCCTTGGTTCATATCGTTGTCTCAGTTCCATTCATAATGCTTCATGGAATTTCAGCTGAATGTTCTGATCATACCAATTCTAACTTCCCAAGGCTTCTCTCTAACCTCTCCGGCTCTCGTGGCTCTTGCGTGTAATTTTTACTATCTAAGACATCTATAGTACTGGCCATTCCAACCATATTTGGTTTGATCCTAACTCGTTTTTTCTTTATGAATCCAGAGAAATTGGAAATGGAAAAAGTGATTCATGGCTTATGCCACTTACAAAGCAAGTAGAAATCGTGTGTGACAAGGTGAAGCAAATGAAAGAGTTACGTCTAGGATACAACATTGTTGCAAGATCTCAGGTTTCTTGATACTTTCTTGCAAACTAAAACAAACAAAAGTGTGGTTATTTTTATCGTTACCCTTTCGAATTTCATGGATAATGGAACAAACAGGGGAACTTAGTAGCACGCGGGTTGATCGAGTTTTGCGATGATGGGCCTCCGGTTTACAACTATGTATCTTTAGCCGGTCCTCATGCTGGAGAATCCTCTGTTCCTTTTTGTGGTGTAAGCTCTTTTTAATCTCCTATAATCTCTAATCTTCTTATAATATCTTCATTTCAATTCAAACAATAACAGTAACAACAATGTCTTTCTCTGTTTTTGCATAAAGTGTTATGAATGGTGTGATATAGCAGATAAATTGATGGAGAAAAATATCTATTCCGACTTCGTTCAAGTATCACTCTCTCTACCTCGCTATCTCTAACATGATTATGAATTTTACTTAATCAAGGAGTAGTAATTAACATCTTCAATGATTATGCAGGATCATTTAGCTCCTAGTGGTTATATCAAAATCCCTACTGTATGTTTATTCACCATGCATATATATAGTTGAGAAGAATCATATTAATTAGTTTTTAAAAGGAATCTTTGTTTTTGGTTTCACAGGATATCTCAGAGTATATGAAAAGTTCTAAGTATCTACCAAAGCTAAACAATGAGATACCAAACGAAAGAAACTCAACTTACAAAGAGCGTTTCACCCGCCTAAAGAACTTGGTTCTGATTATGTTTCAGAATGATACGGTTATTGTTCCCAAAGAATCATCTTGGTTCGGTTTTTACCAGGATGGTAATTATACATCTCAACCTCCTCTTCTCTCCGCTCAACAGACAAAGCTCTATACAGAAGATTGGATCGGTTTGAAAACATTGGATGTTGCTGGAAAAGTGAAGTTTGTGAGTCTACCTGGCGGACACCTCCAAATAGCAACTACCGATGTTATCAAATACGTCGTGCCTTATCTCCAAAACCAACCATCTTGATCCATACAAAACGAAGGAATCTTTGCGTCATTAAAACAAGCAGATACCTCATTTGTTATATGCTTATTTATGCAACAGTGACCGATGATTGTGTGTAGAACAAGGATCCATATCATTATAAAGAAACTTACATACCTATCTGAATTATCCAAGTAAACAGTATCATCTCAGGTAAGAGCCAGGAAAGTAGACCTTACTTTCCCTGAATCAAATACTAGAAAGGCTTCGAGGAACTCCGTTTGCTCATCGTTGTCAAGACTGGACTAGTATTCATGATCTTGATTGTCAAATCCTAGAATGAAGACCAGAGACCGCAAAAACAATATTCTGTATACATTCTGAAGGAAAACAAGAAGTTATTTCTTTCATAGGAGAGACAGCAACCATGAAATCGTCAGAACTATTGAAATGATTAACTAGACAACATCTTCTCAGAACTAGATTTGTTGAGAACATTACCTAGCTCTATATGTATTTTCAAAACATAAATCAGGAAACTGCTTGAGCATCTTCTCTATCATAACAAGAGAGTAGTATGCTTCCTTCCAAAAAGGAATGCTCCCTTCCTCAACAGTATTTTGCAAGTTTACAGCAGACACCAAAATCGGTTTAGCCTCCTATTTGTAAGAAACATGTGCATAATAACATAATCACATTGCCGCGAAAATCCAAGAACAATCCTTTATGTTATTACTTACCGATGTGACCATATAATGTTTTGTACAGATCCCATTGACATTGGTACTGCTAACATAAGTAAAAAGAATCGATTGATGCAACTTCATGAAACAAAAACAAAAACATAACCTTTTTATTGAGTTTTAAGGAGAGGTACAAGAACAAAAACAAGATTACACTCCAATTGATCCACTTAATCAAGCTGATCTCTACAGGCAACTGAGGAAGCCATCACCCAAAGAATAGCATTTTATCTATTACGAAAAGACTCGACTCATTGGCATAGAGACTCATTTTATCTATTACGAAAAATGGCATAGAGACTAGAGAGTACAGATAAACAGAAACAGAATGAGCAAACCAAGAAAACACTCACAATGCAGTTATGTTACAATTTCTAAAACCAAAAAAGGGTTATCTTATTGGGTTCCCAGAACATACCAAAATGCAGTTTTTGGACTTAAACTAGTGTAGTCATAAACAAAGAACTTTGGAAGACTTTGATTCTTTCATGACCCATTGGTCAAGGCTCCATTTTTAGTGGCAATGGAGGAGAGAACATTAAGCTTCCTTTTTCAAGCTGGATTTCCCTCTCGTGTTTGTTACTTCCTTGGTGGTTCGCTCCTGTCTTCCCTTCACTGCCCTCTGAAGAAGAAACTTCATTTTCAGAATCAGTTTCTTCTACTTCTTTTACTTCATCTTCAAAGCTCTCGTTTTCCTTGGGAACGTATTTGATTTCCTCAACCTCATTCGCATTCCCTTTCTCATCTCCATTTCCATCGTTTGATCCGCTTGTTGAGTCATCTTCCTCACTTATGCTTGACTCTGGCGTATCTCCATAAACCTTATATACATTCCCATTCTCATCGAAGCTCACAGATTTCACCACACGGTTTGTTTTTCCTCCACTTCCTCTCACCAAAACCCTGTTCCCAGTTTTCGAACTATGCCTCTTTCCATCATCCCTGGACATCACGAGGGTTTCCTCTCCATCATCAACTGAATCCTCCTCTGCACTAGAACTTAGGTCATCTGTATCTCCATAAACCTTACATACATTCCCATTCTCATCAAAGCTCACAGTTTTCACCACCCGAGTTGTTTTCCCTCCAATTCCATTCACCAAAACCCCGTTCCTAGTTTTTAAACTCTGCCTCCTTCCATTACCCCTGGACATCACGAGGATTTCCTCGTCCCCATCAACTGAATCACCCTCGGCACTCAAATTTAGATCATGCCTATTTCCATATACCTGACACAAATTCCTGTTCTTGTCCAATACAACAAATTTCCTAACCGGAGTCTTCACTACATTGCCTTTTATTACATCCCCGGTTCTAGACTTAGAGCTAGCAACCTTTTTCTTATCACTAGAACTCACTGGGACTTCTTCACTATCATCAGTCATGTCTGCATTGTTATCTTCATCCTCACTAGAAGTAACAAAATTGTTCCCCATTCGGTTCCTCGATTTCTCGTTTGTTCTGTCTTCTGCTACACCAAAACCCTGAGGCTTTTTCCCATTAAGTTTGCTGCGTCTACTCACTCTTATTGCAGACTTAGCAACAAATTCACACCTTTTAACAGCACAATCATCAATGTACTGCAAAAACTTCACCAAATCTCGGCTCAATGATCTCTTACTACTACGTATCATTGGATCAATCCTACCCTAATAGAGACACAATGATAACAAATTTATGATCTGAAACACTAAAAAGACAAAACTTTCAAAGAAACCACAACGAGTTTATACCTGAATTGAATCCAGTCGAAGAAGCAAGTCTGTAGCTTTCCGAGATACAACCTTGAAAGGGAAAATGGGTTTCCCTGAAACTGAAGATTTGAGAGACAAGAAGCTAGATTTTATCATTGCAAGCTCCTTGAGTTGTCTAAAGGATATGGATCTGTGAACAAGGTAAGAGCGGAAATGGGTTTGAATAACACGCGCCGCCGTATCTCTTAGTGTAGAGTGTCGATCTCGACGTTGCTCATAGAAAGCTGAAAACTTGTTGAGGGACGATTCAAGATCATTGATTTTGCGGAGAAGACAAGACATAACAACTTGGTCGTATTCTCGTGGAACATTCTTTTGCTGACGCAAAACACGGTGTTGACCTCTAATAACATTGAAGTTTTGACACGAAGTTTCGCAGGAACATTGAGTTTCTTGTTGATGATTTTGAAGGTAAGTTGCGAGAAGATGGACAAGATTATCCTCCGGCGGCGGCGGCGGCGGAGAAGGGTGGTTTATTTGGGTGCAGCAGTGTGTTGACGTCGCGACTAGAGGGATACTATTGTGGTGGTTTTGGTGGCGTGAGCACCCGTTGTTGTTGTGGTGGTGGTGGTGGTGAGAAGCCATGGAATCGACGGCGGAGTCTGCTATTAGATCGAATGTATTAAATGGCTTTTGACCAAATCGGTCCTGTGAATAAGAAACCTCTTTAGAAGAAGAAGACAGAGAAACGTCACGTAGTGCTCATTATTTCTTACGATCCGGCACGCATTTCGTCTTATTGACTGGTCAAAACAAACCGGATGGGTTCTCTGCACGAGGGTTATAAACTGCTATGGTCGAACCAAACCGGATGGGTTCTGCACGAGGGTAATAAATTGGTAGGAAAAACGGCTATAATCAACCCAAACAAAATTCATAATATTTTTTTTCTTTTTATCAACCGCTTTAATTATTGTTGCTCAAAAAAATTTAAGAAATGTCATTTACAAAAATGATATGATGCGGTTCGATACGAACTCTTCGTGCCAAATTATCCCTTAATTAGTATTTGCACTTTGAAGAATTAAAAAAAGAAAGAAATTTGAAAATTCTTCTTTGTTGCTCTGGATCTTCTTCAAATACAATGAAAAGGCTGGCTATTCGGTTGGAGAATACACCATTTTCACCAAATCTGAACAATATGTATAAAAAAGCTACGTCTTGATTATCGACTCCAATCATACACTTCATCGCCCATACAAAAGCTTCAATTTATGTATGGAGTGGAGTAAGGCTTCTACGAACGTTGATAGCTCTCATGGTTGGCGCGTCTCCGTTTGATGACGTTCAATACCACCATAAACCTGAAAACTTATCATTTTCTTTCCATGAACTATCAACCAAACAACGATGTCCAGAATACAATGCATCATGTGGAAAATGTCTCTCACAGGTGTGGGTTTCCGAATTTAAAGACCCATGAGTTTCAGTATGAAGCTCGGCTTAAGCTAACTGCCACGATTGTGTCTCAGTTTCCACTAAGCGCAATACCTCTAATGAATCATTATCCACGTTCTCGTACAATTTATCAATCCTTGCTTTCCAGATATACTAAATTATCCATGGGAACGAGGATGTGTCTATCCCTACTTTTCCTGATGCACATCTACGTAAGGAGTGGTGTGTGGAGATTTTGTGACAACAATGAGTGGAGATTTGTTGATGATGAAAAAAATCGTGAGAGATTACTGAATTCTGAATTGACTACAAAAATGAATTTTGAGTCGACTACTGAATTAGATAGGTAATATATGCTTCTTCAACGAAAATTAAATTTTGTAGGACACCTTCACGTAAAAATAATTAGACATTTCATTATGTATAGTTACAATGGAGTGAAAATGGGCTAAATCCTACAAAATATGGATGTGAACGGACTTATTCAAGGTTGGGACACAACTCAAATGCTATTTGTAATATTTTCTAGACCAATTATTGTTATTGTTTAGACAAATTTGAGTTACAAAATAGTTTTATTAGTCGAGAGAGTTGGCTATGTATCTTCTGTATTTCGTATTTCATAGAAATATCAATAATTGAGTTCATACTTGGAGCAAATAATATAAGATTACTTTATGCCATGTTGCGATTTTACGTTTCTCTTACTTGATAGATTTACAGCAATGCAAGGTAAAGTTAGTGGTAGATTTACGTTAATTTGATTTGTATGGTATGCAGATATATTAAGGTTGTTACTGGTTAGTAGACTCAAGAGTAGTATGATAATAAAGCTGTGAACATGATTGGTACATATTCATCGACAGTTACAGATGATGTATAATGCACAAGACATTGAAAACAAATGCAGACATAGTTGCAGTTATCTCTGTGCTAGACACAGATGACCTTTAAGCTAGAGAATCTAAGACAGCACATTGTGAAGTCACATGGATTAAAGTGACGTGCTGAACCTTGGAGTCTTATTAAGAAGATCCAAGAAGTGAGAGCTCAACCAGATCATGTTTCTAGCTCATAAGAACAAGTCTTTCATAAAGCCGAATATCAGCTGAGTGAACATGTGGTAACAGAGCAGAAAACAAGAAGACACTGTGTAACGCAACAGAGGTAGAAAAGGCTCATGTTGTAGCAATCACTAGAACGGCTGTATCAGTACATGGACAAAGCTGCGTCAGAGTGAAAGCATGTTTCAAGTTGACATGCCTATCGTGGTGTAGAGCAGTTG